GGTTCTTATAGTTGTCGTAGGTCGTCTGTAATGCTTTGGTATTTCGCTTAATGTTCTTGCTCGTGAAACTATATACGTAATTACTATATAAAATATTTTTGCTTTTAAACCTGGACCATCGTTCGTAACACTTATTCCTGCCCGAAGGGGTTTTGATACAGTTATTGGTTTTTAGCCCGTTTGTAAGATTATACGTGCTCTTTCTGTTAACATCGTGCGCTTTCCGGTTGACAGCAGCTATCCACGTGCAGTTTTCGGATTTAGCGCCGTGGGGCTGGATGTTCTTCCCGGCTGAAGCTCCCTGATTGCAACTGTGCACCGATCGTGCAAGGCCTCCAGAGCCGTTTTGGCCCTCAATGCAGGCCGCTTACCATATACGTTTCACCTCCATATGTGCCTCCCTGCTACATGTGCGCCCCCCCTCCCAGTGTGTGTGTACGTGCATGTGTGTTTGTGCACAAGTCGCAGCACCGGTCATTGCAGAGGCCATAAACCTTAGATGGGACTTGCACGCAGGTATGCTGGCTTCTGACTTGGAGCTCATCGGGATCGTGTTGCTGGCTAGCTTTGGCAGGAGCTCTATGCATGCTGGCTTTGGCTTGTATACCTGTTTCTCTGCCAGTCCGCAAGCTGGCTCGGTTGCATATGCTAGACAGGTCCTAGGTACAGTACATCATGTATGGTACGCATACGTACACATGCTCGAAGTACGGATGCGAGATGCTTTCTGCATGGGGTTTGTGCGTGCAAGATCTCGATCTGCTGATAAATCAGCCATGTCGGATGCAGGGAGTACTGGATCGCAGTGCCCGGTGCTTTCTGCATGGGCCGAAAGCAAAGAAGTTCTTCAGCGCTTGTCAGCGAAGAATATTTTGGTTTTGAGCAATGATTCGAAGCTTACACGAGCTACCTGTACTGCCAATCAAGCCCTGCTGGTGCCGCTGATAAACTTGGTCGGTATCTCAACCGCAATACTATCTTGTATAAGTAGCCTCCATTGCACTGTCGTGAGTGCAGCGATATCATCAACCCAGGTCTGAGGCCATCGGTGGACCTTGTGGCTTCATATTTGCAACGCTTGTACTCGGGCTACCGGCCGATCAATCAGAAGATTCCGGACAGATACTTGCACGAGAATTGCGATTTTGATCACGATTGTCGTAGGGCTATAGCATGCACTGTCCATCCCGATCTGATTCCGAGGCAATACCTTGAAAACGCAAGCCTGGATTATGCGACGATTGATTTGCATATTTAGTCGAGCAGCGAAGCGACCACACACTCCACGAAATCATGACTTCAGGGCCATGATGAAAGCTTGTGGAATTCCCATCTGATTCTCGGCCCTTACCAGATACCGCTAGATGTATAATTATTAAGTCGAGCTGCACAAACCGGCCTTGAAAAGACAAGGCTCGGAGGATGGAGATACCGAGAGTGAAGACGGCGAAGGCGAGAGCTCGGAGAGCGAGTCTTCGGCTGAGGACGATCCTGAGATGGAGGTTGAGGCAGAGGCAGGCCCTTACATATAAGCTTAAGGTGATGGGTGGTTTAAGATCTTATATACACAATGGTGGCTAGGCTTCTACCTCAATAAGCTCTATCCCGCATATTGCAGCTAGCTGGTGTATCATGAGTGTACGTGTGAAAAAACGTACGGGTTATAAAATCGAAGTGTAGTTACCTTAACAATCTGGCTTGCAGGCTTGCGAGGCCGAAATCCCTCCAGAAGTTGATCTGAAAGCCCCGAAGCCCTCGGAGCCCCGCATGGAAGTGGTCCGAAGCCACAAGGGAAAAGGCTACCCCGACGGCAAGCCCAGCGGCAAGCCTAGTGGGACAGCCAAACCTGCCCCGTCGAAGCGAGCTTTGTCTTCCCCAGGCCCTGAGCCACCAGCCGCGAGGCCAAAGCCTTCTCAAAGCCTCCCAAGCCTCCCCAGCCGTGCCACGCCGAAAGCCGAACCCGTTGTTCCGCTCACCCCCACTGAACCCGATGGCTACCTGTCTGCAGATCTTATAGGAAATCTGTCTTTTCATCACACGGCCAAAACCTATACTAGACCGAAGCCTTAAACCCCCAACGCAAACCCCTAAACCCTGAACTCTAAGCCGCCACCCCCCAAAAAACAAGAAACCCTCCTCCTGATCCGAGGTTCCGTTGCATCAGCCCGCACGCCCACGATCGCGACACCACCTCCTCGTCGTGCCTTGGTTTTGCATGCCCGTGGCATGTGCACCGCCATGCTGTGTGATTGTACTTAAGGTGAGGTGTGTGTGTGTGTGAGAGAGAGAGAGAAAGAGGGAGAGCGAGAGAAAGCTAGATTGTGCGTACACATATACTCGAATTTGTGTGGGGGATCCAAGCAAGATACAGATCATGCATGTGTGTAGTGTGCTCCGGCTTTGTGGCGATTTGGGGTTGCCTGCTGCAGGTGAGTCTCTATCTCCTATGTCCGATTGCCGGTCGAAGGGCCTCCACTACACCGTGAAGTACATTCGTGAGAAGCGTGCATCCGGAGTCGAGTGTTTGCTTTGCGGGTTGATTGGGACTTTGGACACCATTAAGAAGGTCCCGTGCTTGCCCTCCTGCCCGGGATCTGCTGACAAGAGCCCTGAATCTGCAGTGCCCACACTAGCTGAGCAGCCTTCCCAGGATGCTGCTGCATTGGCTAGTGCAGAGTTGCAGTTTCGAGAATTGCAAGAGATGGAGGACAGGAAGTGTGCAGAGGAGTTGGCGGAGCTGCAACGGCAGGAAGCCGAACTTGAGCAAATGGTTCTTTTGCACAAGCTGCAGGCGGAGGAAGCAGAGCTAGAGGGACTGCTCATTGAGCAGAGAGCTTTGGCTCTAGCCGAAAATCATCTTGCCAAGAAGCTTTTTTCCGAGGCCGACCCCGAGCCCAGCAACAACCCCAGGCGAGCCCAAGCGCGCAGCCAGCTGGAATCGGAAGCCCCGCAAGCCGAATCTGATGGTGCACACCTGCCACTGGTTTGTGTTGTGCCCCCGCACATGGACTTGCCATACGGTGCCCAGGTGGTATACAATCACTGGCGTTATATGCTGGTCAAAATGCATATATATGTAGCTATCGATACTCCTATTTCCTGAGTGTTCAGCCAAGGCACAGATGATATGGACACGTGCCCGATGTTGCTTGGCTATGGGGAGGAGCTCATGTCTGTGAACAATTTGCCAGAAGCTCCCTCGAAGGCCCCAAGTGTTCAAGAGCCCGATGTAGGTTTCCATAACACCTCTGATCTTGACAGGTCCCTACCGATATCAAGCCGGAGGTTCGCGATGAGGAGCCTGCCGCTACTGTTGAGCCGCAGGTTCGGGTTACGATTCACAAGAATTCCGGTGAGATCAGCAAGACCGACGAGGGAGTTGGGTATTCCGATAAGATCGATGGGGTTTCCACCAAGACCGACAAGGGAGCTGGGCATTCCGATAAGATCCATGGGTTTTCCATTCAGACCGACGAGGGAGCCGGGGTTTCCGATAAGATCGGGGTGACCATCGAGATCGAGCCCAAGCATTTGGATTCTGATGCGACTGGTGGGGATATGAGCAAGCCTGTTTCCTGGAATAAGATCGAAGCTGTTTTTTTTTAAATAGGGTGGTGCATTCTGCGTTTTGTATTTCATCAGGTGTGTTTGAGTTTCACATGAGCAGTTGGTGAGTGTACAACGATCGAGCCCATTATTTCTAGTCGATCAGCTAGTGATATATAAACTAGCGAGGGAGTCAAACACCTGTCCACAAGAAGCCTCACGAGCCAAAGGTTTCCGAGATCCCCAATGCCAGCGACAAGGAGGTTTCCAAGATCCCCAATGCCAGCGACAAGGAGGATGATCATGCAGAGGTTGGAGTCAAGCCGGCTGCTGTTTCGTCCATGCAGCCCTATTGGGACCCGATTCTATAAAGCAGTGTGCCCACTGTCGTTGATCAATTTTTTCCTGTGCTGACGAGCAAAACCTGAGGTGCTGCCGCCCTGTCCTGTGGTTGAAGCGCCGGCAATCTCTCCTGCTGAGCAGACCAAACTGTCCTGTGCCCAACCGAAGAAACGGGTCAAAGGCAAGCGAGTCGTGCAGGAAAATGAGGGGCAGTCGGAACAGGATGATGCTCCAGATGATGATGCTGACAGCTCCGGTGGCACAAAGACCAGGGCAGCAAAGGGACGTGGGCGCGGCCGTGGCCGTGGCCGTGGCCGTGGCCGCAGTTCCGGATGCGGTCGGGGGCGGGGACGGAGCACAACATGTGGTGCCAAGGAAGTCACAAGCCCCCGCAACACATCAGCCAAGCGAGGCCGGGATAACCATCCAGATGCGAAGCAGCCTGCACTCACGGCAGACAAGACAGGGCCAGGCAAGAAGAGCAAAAAAGCTGCAACAGCAAAGGATGAGGAGACGGCTCCAAGCGCAGATGTAAAGGCTACTGCACCCAAGGCAAAAGCCAAGACGGGGCCAGGCAAGAAGAGCAAGGCAGCTGCAGCAACAGAGGATGAGGTGAAGCCCGATGTAAAGGCGACTGCACCCAAAGCAAAAGCCAAAGGGCAAACCCGGGGCCTCGGAGAAGACGGCAGAGGAACAGGATCGTCGGCAGAAGCTGTCGAGGAAGA